CCGAGCCTATATATATTTTTTGGTTGTAGTTGTCATTGTTGTTCTTGGCGGGCCCAGGCTGGATTTGAACCCACCAGCTCCAGTGTATGTGGCCGGCACCTTAGCCCCTTGAGCTACAGACACCGAGCCTACTAATATATTTTATACATGAGAAAAAACAAGGCTTATGACTCACTTGGGGCTCAAGAATGTGGCTAAAATTCATACTTGGGATATCCTGACACTGCACTGAATTTGGCATTTCTACATTTTACCAATGAAACTGAGGCTCAAAGAGGTGAAGTGATCTGCCCAAGGCCACCCACCCAACAAGAGGTAGAGCTGAGATTTGAACTTGGGTCTAGCTGACTCCAGTCTTGACCAGATTGCTCCCAAAGACCCATGCCAGCACCCTGAGGCCTGGTCATGGGAAGGGTTCTGTTGTGCCCCAGCCTTAGTCTCCAATGGCCCAGCCCGAGCCTGCTCACCTGGCACGGGAGAATCAGAGGTTCTCGGAACTCAGCCTGGCAGATGGCACAGATATCGCCTGCTTCTGTGCACTGCTGGCCGGTGGCTCGGACTCCATAGTTCTGTTCCAGGGAGGGAAAAGACAAACACAGCTGTGGACCTTTGTGGGAACCATACTTTCAGAAGCACTGCAACTTATGGGGTAAGGAAGGATATGCTGCTGTTTCCAGCTCTGGGTTCCTATGACCTCAGTGGGGACCACCCAGAGTCAACTCACCTGAGAGGTGCAGAGAAGCTTCAGGGCTTTCCTAACTCCACCCACTCGTCCACAGATGTCGAATGACTGAAAGAAGAGCGGGGTAGTGGCTGAAAAGCATCCGAGGATCTCTCATGACCCATGCATAGTTTCCTGCACCATCCCCTCATCCCTGTCTTTGACTCAAAACATTTTCAGGTCTCTTCTTCCCATTTGAAACTCTTCAGTCCCTTTGGCTTTGCTTGGCTTTTGTCTTGCTGCCTGATAGCAGTAGTCTCCCAGTTACCTACACTGGGATGGCAAATGTATGGCACACACACTGCCCCTTCTCCCTCCCAAGCCCAGGGCAGGCATTGCTAATCAATCACAGCACTCTTCCTTTGAGCTCAGTCAGGGCCTGATAATCCTTCTTCATATAGCACTTCAGTCAGCCACTATGTCAATCAGAATCAGGAAGCAAGATCAGCCCAAGGGCTGACATTGCATGGATGGCTTGGCTAGTCCTACTGTGAGAAATGAAAGAGAAAAACACTTGCAATTCCTCTAGGATTCTCTAAAGCCAGAAATAAAGAAGGAAAAAGAGGAAAAGAAAGAGAAGGATGCGTTTACTTTTAGAAGGTAAGAAACCCTGGTTTTTACTAATGACAAAAAGAAAGCACTGCATGCTGATTTGAGGAGTTGAGGGTATGTAATTTAAGAGGGATACTCTTTCTTGTTAAATTCTTTTTAGAGAGAAGGTCTTGTTCTGTCTCTGAGGCTGGAGTGCAGTGGTGTGGTCATAGCTCACTGTAGCTTTGAACTCCTGGGGTCAAGGGATCCTCCTGCCTTAGCCTCCTGAGTAGCTGGGACTACAGACGAATTTTTCTGTGGTTTTTGTTTGTTTTTTAGAGACAAGATTTCACTAAGAGATCCTGTCCAGGTTGGCCTGGAACTCCTGCCCTCAAGTGATCTTCTAAGAGGGCTACTGTTTTTGAGGAAAGAGGGATAGAAAACAAATTCAGCAAAAGTGTAGTTAAAAGCTCCTGTTTTAGGCTCGGCGCCTGTGGCTGAAGTGGCTAAGGCGCCAGCCACATACACCTAAGATGGCGGGTTTGAATCCCCAGCGGGGCCTGCCAAGCAACAATGATGGCTGCAACCAAAAAATGGCCGGGCGTTGTGGTGGGTGCCTGTGGTTCCAGCTACTTGGGAGGCAGAGGCAGGAGACTTTTGAGCCCAGGAGTTGGAGGTTGCTGTGAGCTGTGATGCCACAGCACTCTACCCAGGATGACAGCTTGAGGCTCTATCTCAAAAAAAAAAAAAGCTCCTATTTTAGAGCCAGCCCGCCTGCATTTGATGTGTGTTCTGTAATCTTTAACTGAGTGACCTTGGCTAAATAACTTCATGTCCCTGAGCCTCAGTTTCCTCACCTATAAAACAGGAGTAATAACAGGATGCACCTTGAAGCATTGCTGTGAGGATGACTATGTGCAAGAACATCGCAGAGTGAGCTCCATGGGGAAGAAATTAGGGTGGATTTAACCATAAAGCATACTGATACCTACTACAGTGTGGATGGCCCTCAAAAATATTATGCTACATGAAAGAAGCTATACACGAAAGGTCACATACTGTATGATCCCATTTACATGAACCATTCAGAAGAGGGAAATTCAGAGAGACAGAAAGCAGATGAGTGGTCACCAAGGCCTGGGGGGAGGTGAGTGGAAGAGGAAGAAAGGGGAACAACTGCTTAATGGGTACAGGATTTCTTTCTGGGGTGACAAAAAAAGCCTCGGGACTGGGAAGAGGCAGTGGTTGCCCAACTCTGTGAATCCACCGCATGCTGTGGCACTGTATCCTTTAACACGGTCAGTGGTTAATTTTTATGTTGTGTGAATTTTACAATTAATAAAAAAGAAATGACACCAGCAGGGGGATTCAAGCTTCCCAGTGGCGTAGGCCCTCTCCCCCTGGCTGCCTCACCTTGCAGAGGCTGTAGAGAACGATCAGGACCCCTCCTAGGAAGTAGCTGTTGGAGGAGTCGTCACCCATAATGTATTTGTACCACAGCTGGATGGGGACGAGAGAGCGGAACAGCTGGCTCAGCTCCTCGATGACCAGATAGAACTTTCCCTGCAACCACATGGAGAGCATCAATTATTATTAGCAGTAAAGACCCAAAGGACCAAGCCGTGGGGCCCTGGCCCCAGGCAGTAATGACATTCCAGGTCACAGGCAGGCCATTAATCAGCTTTGGAAAGCACTCAGGCCAGCTCCTAATGGAGCTGCGTTATGGCCTGGGAGACCAGGCCCTCTGCCCACTGCCCTTGCCCCCTGTCTGCTGCCCTCACCTGCCACCCGCCAACCCTGGAAGATCAACGTGCTGAAGGTTGAGTTTCAGGGTAGGAGAAACTCTACACCTTTGGCACAGGGCTGCAGGGTGGTCTTGCTAGGGCTGGGAGGGCTCAAAGCCAAATGTGGGGGCATAGCCCTTGCCCTTGTGCCCAGATCACCCTTGTCATTAAAGGGCTGATTCAGGCATCACAGGCAACTACTTCAGGGCCCCAGCAGGATGGGCACAGAATGGAGGTAAGAGTGAGGCCAACAAGAAAGATAAACGTCTTTCCCAGCTCTGTCACCTACTGACTCCAAGGAGACAGGATGAATACCTGGTGGGTACTCACACTGGGCCAAGTTTGAAGCTTGGACAGCCCAGATGTCCATCAAAGGAAGAATGGATAAACAAATGATGGCATATTTATACAATAGGATATTACTCGGCAATGAGAATCAACAAATGGCTGAGATATGCAGAAATGTGCACGAATCTCACACACATGCTGAATCAAAGACGACAGTTGTAAAAGTATTTATTGCCTAATTCTGGTTTATATGAACTCCTAGAATAGGTAACATTGACCCAAGGAACTGAAACCAGACCTGTGGTTGCCTGGGGTAGGGGTGGGAGAACTGACTTCAAGGGGCACCAGGGAATTCTGGGAAGTGATAAAAAAAAATTTTATATATATATATATATATATATATATATATATATTGCAGTTTTTGGCCAGGGCTGGATTTGAACCCGCCACCTCTGGCATATAGTGCCCTACTCCTTTGAGCCACAGGTGCCATCCAATATTTTATATCTTGACTGGGATCACGGATATATGGATGTGTACATTTGCAAAATTCACTGAAATATATGCTCCGAATCTGTCCGTGTACAATTTTATTGTATTTGAATTATACCTCGATAAAGTTGATTAAAATAAACATACAAACAACCCTGCCCCAGGCATCTGTAACCATAAAAAGGTGAATAATCTTTGTGCCAACAATTCTATTTTTAGCAATTTATCCTAATACAAAATCAGGGATATATGCAAAGATGTGTCAATAGAAATAGTCACTGTGGCATTCTTTATAGTAATAATAAAAAAAGGAACAAACAACAATGCATGAAAGAGGGTCTGATTATGTTCTAGATCTTTAATGGAAAGCCATATAGCCATTAAAAATTATCCTGAAAAATTGCTGGATGCAGTGGTTCATATCTGGATTCCTAGCATTTTGGGAAGCCAAGGTAGGAAGATCACATGAGGCCAGGAGTTTAAGGCTTCAACGAGCTATGATTGCACCACAGCACTCTAACCTGGGTGAGAAGACAGTGAGACTCTATTTCTTGGGAAAAAAGAGAAAAAAAAAAAAAAAGAAAGAAATTACCATATTCTAAAAAATAGCAACTTTATGGTGAAGAAACCAACTACACATCATGTTACCCAAGTGATCAAGGTTAACATCTCCAGTAAGAAGTTATACTGACATTCTGAATGTCTTCATATGATGACTTAATAGTATCACTTGTGTGGTCTTCTGGCCCAAAACTCATAATTTCAATCTAATCTTGAGAAAACAAGAGATAAATACAACAAATTGAGGGACAGTCCACAAAATAACTGCTCAGAACTCTTCAAAGGTGTCAAGGTCATGAAGCATGAGGCGGCCCCACAGTTGGGATGTGGTGAGGGCACAGAGGGCTGATAAGGAATATCCAAGAGAAGGGATCTCCTAGGCTACCTGAAGTATGGTCCATGGACTGGCAGCAGCTGGTCCACTGCGAGCTTGTTGGAAATGCAGACTCTCAGGCTTTGTGCCAGACCTTCTGAATCTGAATCTGCAATTTAACAAGGTCCCCAAGTGATCTGAGTGCATGTTCATGTTTGAGAAGCACTACTTTAATGGATGAATAAGAGCTAGACTAGTGAAGGGAAGGATGGTTAGCTGGTTGAGTGCCATCTTGGTAGAGAGCCTTCTGCTCTGTCTGCCTGGCATCCTGGCAGGTGAGGACACAGCCACCCTGCAGAAGGTCCCTGTTATCTCTGGAGCCCCTGCCTGCTGGAGTCTGGCTAACTGGTCCCTTCTGTGTTCTC